ATTATGTTTACTTTTTCTAATGTCTGCATTTATATAGTGATTGTTTAAATTCATCCACCTACCAACACCACAAAAATAATTTTAATTATAACCAATGAAGAAATTCTCATAAATAAAGGACCAATTGTGTGTTTGGGGGCAGGTTTCATTGATCACACCACACACAAACACACACACACACACACACACACACACACACACACACACATATATATATATATATATATATATATATATATATATATATATATATATATATATATATATATATTCGAATGGCTTGCAAACAGGTTTGAATAAATAATCCTGATGTTTTGATGTTTTGTGGGTAAATACATAACTGCCAGTCTGTTATTGAAACAAAAAAATGTGTTTATATGAATAAATTGGTATATCCATATAGTCAGTTGATAAATAAATGAGAAAAGAAGAAAACAGCTAATTTAAAGGGAAAATCCCAGACTCTCCCACCCACCCCCAGACACTAAAAGAAGCAAGCACCATAAAAACAACCAGGTTGTGCGCTTCTCATACAAATTAAAATGCAAGCATACCGACATATACTCAAAACTATTTAAAGCAAACCACAAAGTTTATATTGGTTTGGGGGTGTGGTTAGTTAATAGGACAGTTTGTGTCACTATGCATATTTTGTAAATGTTTTATTCTGACCGCATATTTTGACCACAGTACTGATTGATCATAGTTGTACATTTAAACCATACCTATTTAGAAACAAAATGCATGCTTTGAATAGTTTCTTTTCCCTATAGTTAACTTGTATTTTGTGTGCTGTAGAGATAAAGGACACTAAAGATAGGACCTAAATGAACTTACGTTTAAGAGATTGGACAAATCAAGTAAGTTTTTATCATTATAATATATACAGCGGTCATTCTATAATATAAAATATTCTTATGCAAAAAGAACAATCTCTATAAAATACATTACATCCATTACAGCCGCGATCAGTGTAATACATTCTCTCGCAAAAGGAATCTACATAATATATGCAGTATAGTCGTGATCTGCCTAGCTTAGCCTCGTTTTCGTGATACATTAATATTCATGAGGATCTCATTAAGAATGGTCTTTACGAAGATCATAAAACTTTGTGTGTATGTCTATCGTGGAGAGTAATGCTCATTAAGGTCAAAGGCGTCACAGATACCTACTATTTTTGTGTATGTTGAGCGTGATGAGTAATGCTCATTACGGGCATAGGGGTCACAGCTCCCTAATATGTTTGTGTATGTTTATCGTGGAGGGTAATGCTCATTACTGGCAAAGGTGTCACAGTTATAGTTTGCTTTAGCGATTTTGCAAGTTGTTAGGTATATGATTATACTGAACACGTGAGACATAGGATTCTACAAAATTCTTGTCTTCTCCTTCCCCTCCCCCTTTTCCATAAGAAAAAGCTCATACATGTAGCACCGTCTGTACTCACTAATAAAACGACTCAAACTGCAAAAACACAACAACAAAAAAACAACCTAAGATCTTGATCTCTCATAGCATGATGTGCCTGCAGATCAGTGTCAAGATTGTTCTACTGATTAATCAAAACAAACTGGACAGATCCAAATCTGCCGGCGCACATTCGTGTCTGTGCAGGATATATGGTACTCAGACAATATTTCTTGGAGTCGTAGGCGATCATCTTATTAATAAAAATTCAGCATTCTGGCAAGATCAAGGTGTACTGCCAAAGTTTAGTGGCATCAAACAATCCCGGTAATTTCTAATAACATCTTACAAACGCTCGCGTATGATCGTCATATTTCTCCTGAATTTTCTCTCATATCTAATCAAAGAGGACCAAATAATGATTGCATCGAACGTTTTCCATATTTTCGAGTCATACAAAATGTTACTTATATGTGATTAAATTGCTTTTGTGTAAGGTTTAAAATTCTTTTTATTTTATTTTTGTTTCTTTGTATTTAATTTCAATGAAAATATTTCTCGGATTTGGGATTATATTTGTAGTAGTGATGTATATTTTTGGCACAAAGTTTGTTTATTTAATAAAAAGATGTAATACGTGAGAATTAATATTTAGATCGTCTTACCCTGGTAACAATATCAACACGAAGTTAAAATGATTGGTCAGTATCACGGACATACTTTATTTGCGTAATCACTGTTTGTAAACAGTTTTTTATGAATGGTTTTTAAGTGGAGTGATATTGGCCTACGTGTGAAAATTAGCGTACTAGGAGACCACATGACCAATCTCACGAGACTTGAAATGAAAGTCTGAGGTCCTAAATACGCATTCCATATATGGGTCATTCAGATCCTTGAAGGAACAAGGTGTATTATTTTTAATTTGTTGCTAGAATATTTTATTCTTCGTCTGATTTTTGGATTCAATAAATTATTCTCCTGGACACTCAACAAGTTGATTTTGTTATTTAAAAAATTCTGAAAGATATTCATTGAAGTTTATTCTGGAATTATTCGGAAACAAAGATTGTGATTCAAGTGAGGAATTGTTGATATTCATACATTGGACTATATTTGACGCCATCGCCCTCCATCTCCGTACGTCGTGGGGACTCGAACATGAATTCTTATAGGACTATGTAGTGATAGGACTTTTGTTTTTATTCTTAGAATCATATTTGGATTATATTCACAAAATGTAAGTCCCATTTACCAATTTTTACATTGTTGTCTAGGAAAATAAATTGTTTTGTTAAAGTATACAAAGCTTGTTGGCTTTCACTCTTTTTTTTTTTGTTACTGAGTACAAGCCCTTGTCACATAACAAAAATGGGACTAGTCGTTGCGATCTTATCATTCAGATGGCGATAGCGTTTGTGTATATCGTCTCTTCATATGTAATGTCAAATAATGGCACCATTCAAATTATAGATGGTCTCCGGTGATTTGTGATCAAAATGTCATCATTGCTGTGGTTGAGGTGGCGTGTGTAAGCACTTGTCACCGGAGAGGCACAACCTTCCCTTTCTTTCTTGTATCAAACTTTTTTCCATTTAGTTTCAACAGCATCGAAGATAAAAATATTCGGATATGCTTACCTCAATCTACAAAACAAAATGTATCAATAAGTTTCAATTTGCCTTTTTTTTTAAAAGCTTCACGTGTGTTTACCATAACCTTTGCTGCATACTCGCCAGGAACAAGTGCATCACAAGAACATTGATGTAAATGTTATATTTTGCACCAAGTCACGTGTGAAGTGAAGTTTAATCTGATAAATATATCTTCATTAATTACAAAAAAATTCGAAATGTATATATTCTGCTTGAATAAAACTCAGACATCGGAAAACATTTTAATGAATATTTTATGTACAAAAGGGCAGGTTCAAACCCGCTTTTCGTGCGAGACACAATCAGTCCATCCTTTGTGTCGAAGCAATACATAATGAATGTATTATTTGCCTCCGTTCAAAGCAGTTCAGAGTTATCAGATGTAAATACTTGTTCACGAGGCCACCATTGGGACCATAAACATACGATATATCGCATTAACCATCAGCATTTAAAGACACTGTCATTCGGATACCTGCTGTCTTCATCATCAGTGATCACGGATCTAACAACAGTAATCTGAAGAGTGAACAGGCGATTGTATTTTTCGGTGAATCAGCTATGATTCGAGGGCTAGTACGCAAGCCAGCTCTATAGATCGATGGACATTATATATATATATATATATATATATATATATATATATATATATATATATATATATATATATATATATACACAGAGAGAGAGAGAGAGAGAGAGAGAGAGAGAGAGAGAGAGAGAGAGAGAGAGAGAGAGAGAGAGAGAGAGAGAGAGATGGCGTAGCAGAGAGTAAGGATTTAAAGGCAGTACTTAACACTCAGCCATGTTAAGAGAAGAATCTCATTGGGGGAAAAAAAAACATTAAGAGGAATGCCAGTACCTGATTAGAATCGTTACCCCCCCCCATTGTTATTGCAAATTATCCCCAACTTCGTAAAGAGACAAGAAAACCATCCTCTCAAAATAAAAAATAAACACTTATATGTCATTTTAGCAATGTAATCAAACCCGTCAGCATTAGAGAGATCGATCATTTTAAGTTTTTTTTTCCCCTTCATGTAAGTCCCGTAAGGTATAAGCAGTAAAGACGATAGACAAACACAAACATGAAATATGCATTGGTGTCTCTTACATCATAAAACGATTTCACGCAAACTTGTTCGTAAATGGATTAAATAACCCCTCTTGTATACATAAGAAAGACGTCGAGGATTCCAAATATTCTCTGGGGACAGTTCTTAACCACATAATGCCCTAATCGATACCCTTCAACACAACAACGTGATCCCAAGGTCTGAAGTCCACATAGTGTGTTTGTCTTCATTCAAAAGAGCTCCCTGCCAGTTTTGCATCTGCTTAAAACCCGGCGGGCACATGGGGAGAAGGCGTGGCTCACTTCTTTACGGCCTAATTATAGCATGATGGGCAAGATATACGGTTGTAATGATACCTTGTCGGGGGAACTGTGACGGGGAGAAATACTACAAAGTGCCAATTTTCTACTTGTACAATTTCCGCTGTCAGCAGCCGTCAGCTGCCTCTGATAGGAAAAAGCGGAGTGCGACATAACGGTCAAGCAATCAGCGGGTAGATTGTTCATGACCTGACTAAAATGACAACCGCATGGAACCAGACGTATTTAATAAATTTGATGATTCACCTTTCTCTTGTTAAAATTGCATATCTGCATGTATGTATGTATTATTTAGATAGATTTTATTTAAATTTACAAACACGCCTTATCGTTTTTGTTCGTTTTACTAAAGACGTCTTATCTTATGGTGTATTTCAGACAGATTTACTAATCCACGGAGCTCTGTGTTAATTGAAACAACAACCAGTGATATAACCATTATAATGCTTAAATGTATCGTTCGAGGTTGAAACTGCCACACCATAGGGTCTAATTGCTTCATCAAGGCTCGCAATTATCTCAAAACTGTGTAATTATTAGACCGCTCCGGCGGCTTAAAGTGCTTAGAGCATCCGCCTTGGATGCGGTAGGTCGCGGGTTCGAACCACGGCCGAGTCATACGAAAGACATAAAAATGGTACCCACAGCTGCCTCTGCTCGACGCTCAGCAATAAGAAGTTAGTGTTAGTACTGGTCGGCCTGGTGTCAAGATTATGTGACTGGCTGGAACATAATGCTGCATATTTGCGGCATGATGTCCCAGTGGTAAACGTCGCTACAAACTGCTACAATGAAAACATCGTAGCGATATGGCTGAAAATTTGTTAAAGTTATGTTAAAAATTCAAAACACACACGTAATTATTACATATATCATTGATCTTTACTGTGGGACCATGGTTCGTTTGACTGATAATTAACATTAGCGGTTTATTGATTGTATGGAATCTTATGGGAAATAACAATAATGGACCACTATAACTCACTATCGTATTTAACATTATTTGACCACTGTAGGGCCCTAAATGAATGTAACATTATTGGTTTCATGAAAACATGAAGCCACACGGGACTATTATCATTTGAGGTTTATGGGCTTTACGGGAAATTCACGTGGGTGTAACGGTAAGAAGCCGTACGGGAATTTAACATTATGATATGACCATAGATCCTGGTGGAATAAACAATTGGGAAGTTCATAAACTAGAACTTAATATCCAACACACAAATTAACAAACACAAAGGGAAATTCAAGGTGTTGCTGATTTACTGATATTTAATCTCCAATACACTTCCGCACAAACGAAAACGTGGGGTGGGGTGGATGGACGGTGGTCTTTTCATGCATGTATAAATGAAGTTGTACTATATAGTTGAGGCTATATTTATTGTATAAAATGATTTCTAAGTAATTTATTTTCGAGATAGACTGATAATTTGTTCTTCCCTGAAGAAAAAAAAACACAATTGGTTAAAGGGTATGGAATCATTGTAGCACTATCGCCTGCATATTGTCGTTGCTGAGAGGCTTAAAGTTATTTGGAACCATTCGGAACCTGATATTTGTGAACTCACTCGGATTCTAATTGTATGAATTTAGCGCCGGTCACTATATACTCACTCTGTCTTTTCGACCAAGCGCACTAACGAGCTCTGTACGATTACCCCCAACGATTACATTCATGTGTGTGTGTGTGTGTGTGTGTGTGTGTGTGAGAGAGAGAGAGAGAGAGAGAGAGAGAGAGAGAGAGAGAGAGAGAGAGAGAGAGAGAGATTTAATATAGCTTTAACAGTGTTTCAGTTATATAGCTACGACGTCTGCAGTGTGGCAATTTATAGTGATGTGTAACACTGGGGCATAATGCCGCAGACATGTAGCACGATGTCCCGCCCAGTCATATTATCTTGACACCTGGCCGAACAGTCCTAACAATAACCTCTTAATGCTGAGATCCAAGCAAAGCAGCTGTTAGCACTATTTTTAGGAGTTTTTTTGTATGACTCGGCCGGGGAACGAATCTACGGTCTCCCGCATCCGAGGCGGACGCTCTAACCAATAGGCTAGAGAGATGCTAATAAATAAATCATTTTTTTTTCAGACGTACAAAAGATTGTTACAACATGTAGACTTTGTTAGATGTAGACATTCGAATGCGTATTGATTGCTCACTTATACTTTGAAAAGAGTATATTTGCATTTAATGACATGTCTATATAATGTTCAACCAAGAAGATTTCGATTTCTGAGAGAGAGAGAGAGAGAGAGAGAGAGAGAGAGAGAGAGAGAGAGAGAGAGAGAGAGAGAGAGAGAGAAGAAGAAGAAGAAGAAGAAGAAGAAGAAGAAGAAGAAGAAGAAGAAGAACACTGTTTGCAATTGGCGAAACAAAAATTGAATGTACGAATTGGTAGGAGTATTTCTTATAAATGGTTGAGCACTAAAAAAATCTAAAGCTTGTCAATTTTTTTAAAAAAAAAATTCAGATGCTGTGAATTACAAATTTCCAAATATTGCAACAAAAATATTATGTATATTTTTTTTTATTTTTACATGGCTATATTCACTCCACACATTCAAATAATAAGTAAGTGACCACTGGTCGAGGTCGTTTTATATTTGTTGTTCAAATAGTCTGTGGAAGATTTCCGTTAATTTCGCAGGTCTACTAAATTCAGTTAATGCTGGTGATTTCAATCTGTCATGGGTGACAGAAAGTCGCAAGCGATCTCAATCTTTTGCTTGTTTTAACTCGGAAAAAAAATAGAATCAAACAGGTTAATTATAAACTTGGCCAATAGCGCGAAACTTTGGGCTTAAAAGAAAGTGTGTGTGTGTGTGTGTGTGTGTGTGTGTGTGTGTGTGTGTGTAATTATGATTTTTAACGTAGCTTAAATTTTCAGTTATATCGAATCTGCAGAGTAGCACTTTATAGTGATATTTATCACTGGGCATCATGCCGCAGACATGTGGCATGATGTCCCACCCAGTCACATTACCCTGACACCAGGTCATCCAGTCCTAACTCTAACATCTTAATGCTGAGCACCAAGCGAGGAAGATATTGTACCATTTTTATAAGTCTTTTGTATGACTCGTCCAGGGATCAAACCAGCGATCTCCCGCGTCCGAGGTGGACGCTCTAACCACTTAGGCCACAAGAGCTGTAAAAGAAAAAGTTCGTTTTTGTTCTAAATTTTCTCGAAGTCATTCTCGTTGAGCCAATAAACCGCTATTGTTACATGCCCAAATGTAATGGTTTAAAATATTGTAGAGATAATTTCGCAGTATGTCCTGTCGTGGTCAGCGTAACATGTAAACATAAAGTTTGACGTATGGCTAGACTCGCAATAAATTTCTGGCTGAGAGGGATTCGATTTGTACAGTTTTGAGCATGAATTGAATTTGAATTAGAGTCCGTTCGACAGAGGTTTCACAGATATGTCATTAAAGGGTAAGTTCAGATGATTGACAGAATTGAGACAAGTCAAAACAAAATTTTCGGAACTCTTGGCCATTTGAAAATATGTGTCATAGAATTATATTTTCCAGAATACTTATTAATAAAGGTGGACTAGAGAGGATTATTCTGACTTCGATTAGAGCGTTTAGAGAAAGCAATCCTGATTGGCTCAGATAAACGAGTGTGTCTTTTGTATGTGTTTCCAGCCGAATTTCAAAGTTTTACGAAACTCCCCTCCCAATATTAATCAATCTAAGTTCTAAATGAAGCCACAATTTAACTCCAAGGATATTCAAAAAGTAATTTATCTTGTTAAATACACCGTCTGGGTCAAGGTGGTCTGGAAATTTGAGAGACCCGAAATCAGAGAAGAAGACAGAGGGAATTCTCTGATAAGCTAGCGAGAGCTTAGACGACACAAAGGAAGAAATATCCCCATACAAGTTCTACACAGTGGAAAGTGCAGTCTACAACCAAGACGGCTGGTGACCCGAAAACGAGAGAGAGAGAGAGAGAGAGAGAGAGAGAGAGAGAGAGAGAGAGAGAGAGAGAGAGAGAGAGAGAGAGAGAGAGAGAGAGAGAGAGAGAGAGAGAGAGAGAGAGAGAGAGAGAGAGAGAGAGAGAGAGAGAGAGAGAGAGAGAGAGAGAGAGAGAGAGAGAGAGAGAGAGAGAGAGAGAGAGGAGAGAGAGAGAGAGAGAGATAGAGAGAGAGAGAGAGAGAGAGAGAGAGAGAGAGAGAGAGAGAGAGAGAGAGAGAGAGAGAGAGAGAGAGAGAGAGAGACCTATCACCAACAGAGTGATTTGGAAAAGACCGAAAGTAACCAGGTGATGAAGACATGCGGGCAATTTGAGTTCGATCGGTCACTAAATTATATGATGAAATTTATTTATCGATATAACAGAACGGCTAATTGGTTTTTGCATAATTTTTATACTCTATTTCCAGCAGAAAGAGAATCATTCAAATGTGGTGTTCAATTTCGTTTTGTTTATGTAATTGATTAAATTGTTATATTTTACATACGGGCATTGTGTTTCTCTGTTCTATATCTCTGCTCAAATCTTTGTTATTCAATCCATTATTTACATATTTTATTTTATTGTTTAATCGATCCGGGATATAACACCATGGTCGATCGTCTCCTTGATAAAGATAATCAAAATACCATAAGGAGTGGGAGATCACACATCAACCAGAACGTCGCGACACCCATACCGGCACAAAACTACTAATGCTAAATTCCAGAAGGGACAAAAATGGTATATTATCGTTAAGTCCTGAAAGGAGCCAGTAGTGCCCCAGTAATATTAATTTCCGTATTATTCCATACCGACTCAAAATCGCTAACGTAAAAATTTCAGAAGGGCCCCATTGTGCCCCAGTAATGTTAATTCCCGTTGGGCCCCATACCGGCACAAAAGTACTAATGTTACATTTACGTAGATTGTAAAGCATCGACCTAATGCACAATTTCTACAGAGTGGCCTATCGTGACCTCCCATTTTACTTTTATTGTATATTGTAATGCTAATGAAAGATTTTATGACAGAGAAAACCGTACTGACCGTGAAAAAAAAAACATTAATAATGTTTAAACATTATAACAAAATCACGTCTACATTCCAACGGACGAGCGGATTCATCGACTGCGATCGCTGCTACCCTAACAATTTTAAGTTCGAGGAGAAAAACAGTTCATTACTTACTGCTTGTTCGTTTGCAAAGTTATAGAAGCCACAATGCCTACAATACTCCAATCTATACATCTTGTGACCGCGTTCTTAAATTTTGATGTGTGACCTTTCCCCTCCCCGTAGGAAAAGGAATAGGAATTTCCCACTATCTACAGGAGGTCTGTATGCTAAATTATGTGTCCATTAATTAAATTACATGGTGTCCATGGATTGAAAGCAAAAGTTATTTATGTTTTTACCTTGAATTCTATGGTTTGAATTTCCCAATCCACCTTCGATCAACAGCAGTCTTCCACGCACATCTCAAGAAAGTTATTCGTAACACCTTGACTTTAATTCAGGAACCATTGTAAAATTTAGCTGGGGCAATTATAGCTGGAATGGAAGGATAGATGGACGGAAGTATATATTGCTTTCCTATATTCCCGCTCCCGATTCTATTCTCTCGGGGAGAATAAAAGAATGC